GACACCGGGGATGGAGAATTACTAACCTTCACCATCTGCACCTGCAGCGAGGTCAAGATCAGTGATGTAGTCTTTCGGTACGGCCTCAAGCCAGACTTGTTGCCAGATGCCTGAGCATGAGCGATAGAAGATGTGACTCGGTCGCAAGGTCTGTTTGCCAATGGGGATAACTTGATCGTCTGTCGGGTCGTTGACAAAGACGAGCCTGGCAAGATGTTAGAGCGTGTTTTGGCTTGGAAGCTCAATCGTGGACTTACAGCTCATTCGACTCTCCAAACTTGATGTCCTCCGTCAAGTCGACAGTGAAACGGTCATAGCCCCCAATGTGCGTCGTCTTTTCTTTCCCGTTGACAAATACGGTTGAGTTATAGTCGACGGCCTCAAAGTGAAGTAGAACGGCCTGATTCTTCCAGCCATCCGATACCTCGAAGGACCTCTGGTACCAGAACTCGCGCTCGTCGAGGACCTGCAACCCTGACAGAGCGCTTTCGATGCAAGCTGGGACCAGCACTTCACGATCAAGAGGGCCTTCTTTGGGCGGGTTGCTGAGATCGCCATCGCCTCTCCATGTCCAAATGCCATTCAGGCTCTTCCAAGTATCGCGCTTGAGCTGCGGCCGCGGATGTTCCGGCCAAGGATTGGTGCCGACCTTGTAAGTCCAGTCGGTGTCAAGTGGAGGTTTTTGAACCTCGTATTTTTTCTGCGCTGCAGCGACGCTGAGAAACAGAGAGCAAAGCCCCGCAAAGGGGACAACATTTGAGCAGAGCATTTTGAAAAGTGATGGTTGCGATGAGTGAAATTGCGCATGAGGATGAAGGAGCTTTTGTACTGCCTTAGCATGCCATTCCGTGTTCCCCGCCTGCATACCACGTTGAGTTTGTGTGAACCTTATGACGTCTACATCGTCAGCGCTTAAGGAAGAGCTCCAGGGGATCATCATGTTATTCCCCCCTTTCCCCCGCATCAATGCTGATCATCACACGTTATTATCCCTACTGCATTAGAAAATCTGCACGATTTTCCTGTAATTTGCTTCCGGCAGGTGGAATAAATCCCGAACGATGAGGCTTTGCTTGTTTAGCTACCAAGATTACCTTTGCCGATGTGGTATTGGGAGTCTTAATTCAGTATTAGCGTGTCTGATCATCATTTTACAGGAGGCCTTGTGCGCATCACAAGGTGCCCGCTGTTGCCTGGTTGTTACAGGGGCACGGATCCTCTGTAACCCAAGCACAATCAGTGCATGAAAGAAGTGGAAGACTAGGTACCTAAACGTTGCGCCGTTTGGCTCCAGCAAACAAGGTTACAAACATGCTCTATTACTTTTAAACGTGTTTTCCATTCTCTCATTCAAAAAGTTAAGGTATGACCGGGTGCAAAAGGTTTGGGCTAGCTGTTTGTAAGCTACTAAGGTCCAAAGGTCTGCCCTTTCGCTAACGCCTTGTAAGGACAACTCTTCCAGTCGCAGGTATCCTGTTACATACACCATTAGCCGACAGCACATCTCGATGAGTCTCATCAACTGACCTTGTACACGTTGGTTCCCCACCAGCTGAAATTATCCGCGGCGCCGGTGTAGAAAATGGCGAAGAAGATGACAATACCAGCGATAGCGACGGAACAATCCAGAGCGGAGCTCAGAACAAAATTAAATCGATGCCACCAGCTGGCCTTGCGCTTCTTAATAAGAGCGCCAAACAAGAGACCGAATAAAGCCCAGCTGCCATAGTTGACACCGGATGCAGGCGGGATATAGTTCAAGCCACCCAGGAACAGCGGAACGTGTATCTTCTTCAGCCAATTGATATGAGGGAAGGCCTTGGTTCGAAGGAGGTACACGACGACAGGAAGAAGAGCTCCGACCAGGAAGAACCAGAGCAAGGGTCTGTAGAGGGCGCCTGGCTCGAAGAAACGACGGGGACCGAGTGCGCCCCAGACCATGCTTGTGTTGAAATGAGTTCGAGAGAAGGGACAAGTGAAACCGTTCGGAGCAAGTTTGGCATTGCAGACGTTGGGGATATTTCCAAGTGCCCAGTTGAGGACAGACACTTGACCAAGAGTACCAATAATAAGGCCGACTACTTGAACCAGGAAGAGGCTTCGGGGAGGGATCTGAAATACGTCAGCTTGAGGTATCAGTAGCGTTTAGACAAGGACCACTTACACCGCAGTAGATGCCAAGCTTCAGGTCTTGTGAGAAAGCAAGACCCTTGATACCCGAGATGTATCCAACGTTGAAGAACCAGATGTTGGCCAGGACCTTGCCTTCCCAGACGTAACCAGCGATGATGCGACAGAAGATATCGATTTGGATCTTGATGTTGCTCGTAGCATACACCCAAGCGAGCTTCAAAAGTCAGGAGAATGCTTATGAATGGAGGCCCAGGTACTCACAGGGATGAAGAAGACAGAAGACACTACCATGCCGAAAATCACGCCGTACCAACGCAGCTGAACGGGGTAGTACTCATAGGTAAAGATACCGATGCCCAATGCTACAAGGGCAGCGGTCGTGTACCACCAAAGCGGAACTGCATCATATTGGGGCTGTAGTCTGTCGCGAGTGGAAGTGTCCTTCGACGTCAACGATTTACATGCGTCGCGGAATGTCCTCACTAAATCCCGGCGCTTCTCGAGAAAGAGCCAGACAAAGAGAGACGAGATGGTGGCGAACGACAGGCCGAAAGTGTTGAGCGCATATGTTACTGGGAGATAGATCTAGGGCGGACATCAGCATCTCCTATTTCTGGGAGGCGTAGTGGGATGAGACTTACGTCAGAATACTGCGCATACAGATCATGATCAAAGGTGAAGCCATCTTTCTTGTTGACAACCTTGGAAACGTTGAAGACTTCTCCGGTATTGTCGAAGATTGAATTGCTTTGTAGCGGCAGATGGGCCGAGAACCAGACATTCGAGTAGTAGAGCGCAGGGCTAACAATGTAGATCCAGAAGACGAGCGAGGCGAGAACGTTGAGGATAGCCCAGACTGGGACAACAAGTGGTGATCCGATGTAGGCGATTTGACTCCCTGAAGAAACAGCTTGTTAGCGACCGAAGCATCGAATCATAGAGCGGCGAGCACATACAGTCGAAGGTGAAGGGCAACAACCCCAGTCCACTCTTCATGCCAAACACCTGGTTGACGACAGGGTTCTTGGGGGCGATCCAGCAGATCCATGTAAAGTATCCCAAAGCAGGGAAGATGAAGTCAGGGAACCAATACCAACAAAAAGAGGCGAAGAAGGCGAGGATGAAGAAATGGTAACGAGAGATTTTGCTGGAAACAGGTTAGTAAAACCCGGCGCCGAGAGCGATGAGAGAAATGCTCACCCAGCGATCACCTCCTTGCGTGGAGTATGTAAGGCTGCGTTGAGAGCTGTGTTTCCGAGCACGCCTGGCCAAACGAGGCTCTTCGGTTCAACAACTACTGAGCGAGTCAAGCCTGACAGAGCAAAACCGAACAGGATCGATGTGAGTGTTGCGAGGATCTCGAAACCCCATCCTGCCTTGAGACCGTAGAAGACGCGCTGTTCGGTGAGGACATCAGCGCTCAATCGAGTCAAGAAGCTGAGGTTGGCCAATATGTAGATAAGCATATTCTCCTGAGCCAAGTTTAGTGAGTCCCTCTTTGAGGATATTAGGAAACAAATACCTTGTGGTTAAAGGGTCCAGGGTTCAGGCTATGTCGCTTGCCAAACAAGGTGAACCCCCAGTCCGGTATCGCATACTCCCATGCCTTGCCGACGGGATAGGCGAGGAACTGGATTGCGGACTGCGAAAGACTGATGGATGGGAACCTCAGCGTGTACAGAGTGTTCACGCCACTGCCTACAAGACAGAAGGCAATGCCGATTGTCCACATGCGAAGAGTGAGGCATGGCAGAGTTGGATCATCATCTTTGAAGCCCACGCCAGCCGCTGACAGGACCTCTTCAACAGATTCGCCTTTGATTCATGAGCATAAGAAACTTGCGGAAGTACAAGCCGGCAACGAACCTGAAGATGTCTCTGGTCGGACCAGGCCCTCGTTTGGAGCGGCCACTTCTGCCTCAGCAAGACCTTTCTCAACGGACGCAGTCATGTCAAGATTTTCGTATGCAGAGCTCACGATGATCAGATCAAACCAGATCAGATAAGATGAGAATGATTACAGATTGATTATCTTATAACAAAATCTGCCAAGCCGTCACGACGGCAAAGTCGGTTCGGCGACCTTGGCGAGGACTCCACTGCAAAAAATAGTCATGTTGGCATGAGTTAATTCTGTGGTCCTTGGCGTGCCGTATGCCGAGATACCTCAGCATCTCTAAGTATTAACTGAAGCTCGCTCATCAACAACTAAATTACTCCAAGAATCTTGAAATTGTCTGTTCCCCTTATCAGATTATATTTTAAAAGAATTAAAAAAATTGGCGCCACGAGATTCTTTTACGAAGCATTACTAGTAGAGAGCTGACATTATCCCATCAGTTTTCATGCTCCTCAGCTATTCTCAGCTGTAGCAAGGCTAGGAGCCACTATCACGGTACTCGGCACGTTTGCCGAGAAACTACGCGGCACTGCCTCGAGAAATTTTTACATAGCATGATAACCATCATTATTCAAGCATTACCAATTTTACGGTCCATCAAATAGAATAAGCATATCGAGTAACGGTTTCTTGGCACAATGTCTTGCGTTGTAGCAGGACCCTGAAGTTCAAGGATGCTTTATCAATCGACCAGGATCGGCCGTCCACGCGGTCTGGGTCGCGTGGGGAGCGCACTGCAACAATTTTATGAGTATCAACCAGCTCGCCAAGTAAGCGGACGCAACCAAGGTCAAAATCTCAACTGGGTCTTGATTTCTGCTTGGATCTAGCCTTGTATCCCATCCGCCCGAGCTGAACTTAGTACAACGACATGGCACAACTGACAAAGCAAATAAACAATTAAGCATAACCACTGATAACACAGCTGAACCTCCTCCACGCGGTAGTAACTCCAGCCATCTTTCTTCTACGCCACCGGAATAAGTTTGGGTGACTGAAGAGTCACCTCAGATGTGTCTGCAATCCTCAGTCTCTCTATTCCACGAATTACATCATCTGGGAGTTGACTCGAGGGCGAAGTCGCTGGTGGGCTGGATGATGGTGAGCCAGGCCGCTTTCGTAATCTGGGTTTGAGTTTGGGCCTCTGGCTTATAGACGCGTATCGGGGTTTGTATACGCCCTCATTCCCGCTAGGACCTGACTCGTCCTTTGACGACGTCTTTATGTCACTGGATGAGGGTTCGGCGTGTCTCCCTGAGGTTGACTGAAGCTGTTCTGCTTGGGGTGTCGTCTCTTGTGATCCCCTTACGCTGCTGGGGCCTGCAGCTGATTGTGGTTGTTGGCTGGATCTGACCGGGGTTGCCGGCTGCTTTGCAAGCGCTTTCTCCGATGTCTTTACGGGAGTGTTGGCTGGTGGTGCGTCCTCGGATCTGTTACTGTGAGCTTCAACCTCAGAGAGAACGTTTGAGGACGGATTGCAATCATACCTAGGCTGTGATGGCTGATCAGCAGGCCCGTTTGATGTTGTGTTCTGAGGAGCAATCTCTTGACGCATCGTCGTCAGATTGGCCTCAACGACTTGAACACGTCCAACTCCCTCACGTGTGAGTATGGCATCAATGACGTTTGGTGGAGCAGTCAGTACACTCTTCAAGAGACTTACACCCAGCAAAGTTGCCGTTCCCCATGCTTGAGTTTTCGGATCTGCCATGAGCCATTTCATCAAGCAGCGCGGGAGTGATGTAAAGAGTGCTAGATCTCGTTCTTCCTTGTCAGATGAGACGTGTAAGACGAGTCTATCGAGGGCATTTCCTGCTTCATCCACGGCAATAGCGAGCTTAGGATGGATGCTCGGAGCCGTCAATCCATGCTTGTGATTGGGCCCGATGCCCAGGCACTTGGAACCCTTTTGACGGGTAAGCACCACTTTCTCAGACTGCATGCCTTCGACCGCAAGCATTTCGCCCTTCTTCAAGATGTTCAGAAGGGTCCCCCTGTCCACATCTGTTGTTGTTCGGGGGCTACCACAATGCATGGCGATTCTGACTGACATATTAGCCCCGTCCAGGAATTCAGGGGTTATGAAACATACCGAAGAATGCCTTCCGCCCTCTGCGCTATATCCCATTCAATCTTCTGTTTCTGCGCAGTTGGGGGAGAACAGCACATGCGGTAGACGTGCTTTGACAAGTAGCGATCCTTGAAACCCAGCCATGTGAACAGCGGATCTAGAAGCGCGATCTCTTCCGCGGTTACATCAAGGAGAGGGAGCTTGTCCTTGAAGGTGTTCGTAAACTCCTCATCATCGGGAATGAAGAACTCTTCCGTGGAACCAACAAAGCGGTATTTTTTGCCGTTCCATTTTCCAAGAAAGATCCTCTGGGTCAAGAGTTCGTCAGGTTTCATCGATACTTTGGACGTTGCAATTAGGCCATTGAGAAGGCTAAAAAGGTCTCGAATCTCGAACTCTGGTGTCCAGTAAGACATGCGTGACAAGACGATTTTCTCCGTAGCCTCTTCAACCTTGAGGAGGCCCACGAAGAAGTCCTTCAGATATGGATATGGTCTACTCAACTCGGCCAAGTTCCTAATCCTGTTGAGCGGCGACCAAATACATGTGAGAGGAGTTTGCCACACGATGACGCTGCCCTGCTCGATGGCGATCAAGCTGTGCTGTAGGAATAGTTTCCTGTTGCTCCAAGTCAGCAAACTAGTGTATGGGTGTCGCGACATACTAACCGGATGGTGACTCTCTCTGGTTCCGATACCTGAAGCTCATTCAAAGCACGATAAAGTTCAGTCACTTGTTGAATGGATGTTTGACCAGTAGCACGCTGGATGCCTCTCAGCTCATCTATGATGGCAGCCCAGGTGTCAGGAAAGTTCGGAATACAGAGAACCAGTTGATAGAAATGACGTATCGCCAGTGGTTCAAGGGAGGTTGCGTCAGTTCCAGCTGCTGGCGTGAGGACTCTCTTCGAACGCACATAATCTGGCGCATGGAAAAAGCATGAACTGGGTTTTATCCATTCGCCCTTATGGAGGAGAAGTTCGCAAGCATTGAAATTGTCCCTACAAGGTCAGAATATGGCTGGTACAACAGTGAGTACACCCTTACCAAAGTTTGTCGTCGGATAGAAGTTTGTAATAGGTGCCATCCGGGTATGGCTGCGTACGATTCAGGCGACGAAGGAAGTAGGCGTAGACCCCAAGGACATGTCCCGGACCTTTGACATTTGTTGGCCATGTTTTCTTGATGGTAAGCAGAAGATCAGTGAGGAACTGGTCGCCGGCTTCGTATTGGCAACCGATCTCCCTGAGGAAGTTCCATGAGGAACGATCCGCGTGATTCAGTTTCTGGTCTTTAAGGATAAGGAAACGAAAGCGTTCCTCAGGCAAAAGGAGTAATGACCAAATACTGATGAGGTTCTCCGTAGGAACCCATGCTTCGGAAAGAGGATGAAGACATTGGTCGCGACAAGAGACCTTGACCTGCCTCAATTGATGCAACAACTTGGCCGAATCAAGGACTTGCTGTCTGTTTGTGTCCCAGACGCGACGAAGATATAGAACAAACTCATCAGGTTGGTCATGTGCAAGGCGAAGTGCGGCTGGTGAGAGACGCTCTGGATCGCCTTTGTCGATAAGGGGCGGATCCGACTCCAGGGGCTTGAACATTGTGAAAGATGTCAAATATGATATGATGAATGAGCTTGAATCGTAGGTAGAAGTTCAATTGTAGGGAAAAGCGTCTCGCAAGGTTCAAGATGGCGTGTTTAAAAAAGCACGTAGACCAGCCTTGACTCACAGTATGAAAAAGGTACGTTAGGTACCGTGTTTCGGGCTTGGGCATCCACCAAAACGCGCCATCTATGGCGGGGTTGGGCCGTTATCGAGCAAGGTATAGGCCCCTTGGGCGTTGCGATAAGGCCTAAATCATAAACAAAATCGCGGTGCGTACAGTGTGAGAATTCGACGACAGAAACCTCTGCCTCCAATAAAGATGCGCCAACCTGTGACGTAAATTTTGGTTCCTTTCAGCCACCGCTCAAGGAAGCTGTGATAAGGTTGAGAGGTCAAAAGAGGCTCTAGCCTCCAGGGTATCAAGGTAAATAACACCGATAAACACATACGGGCAAGGTATTCGTTGCCCTGACTGTTGCCTAACATCTTGCTTTTCGCTGAAAAGCCAGACACCCTGATGTCAACTCCAACGGTGTTTATTGGAAATTCAGTCGTATTCAGGACTAAGTTTTCAGTTAAGTAAAGCCTCGTTGAATGAGTCACAAATGGTTTGTACACAAAGTTAGAGTGATCTACAGGCGTGTTCAACTTCACATCACGAAGACGATAAGACACAGCCCATCAAGCTGAGATCATCAGCGGACAATTATTTGACCCGGACGAGTTCTAGCTCTTTATCCCCACTGCCGACAGGTACAATGTTTAACAGATGCAGAGTTTCAAGCTTCGCTCAAATTCAATCTCACAATAATTCAATTAACTGAATCGACATAACTTAGAAACGCGCATAATATGATCAAAAACGAACCGCGTGAATCCGTAACAAGAGCAAGCAACTCCGTTTCAAACAAATATCTTCACTCCAGCACCTAGGAAAACGAACGAAGTAGATAGAGCCGACTGCGAATCAGAAAACGGCCGAAAACGACAACCTCGGCTTATCTCCCGTGAGCTGGGGCCACTACATAGCTTCGAAGCTCCCGGTCCAGTATCTGAGATTCTAAGAAGCTCAAGGCGACGGGCCAATGCATCCACGGTGGATGTATCATCCAGGGTAGAAGAAACAGGCGCAGCCTGCTCCGGGGAGTGAGGCTTAGACCTTCTTCGTGACTTGGGCACAAGGAACCGCCGCTGCGGTGTTGTTGTGCTGGGCTTGGATTCCATCTGGAGTTGCTCACTGCTGGTGGGTTGTGTCACTGGCGTCTCTATGGTTCCTGTCTTTAGCACGGCCGTCGTAGCGTCGGAAGAGCATTGTTGCTGGTGCTGGTCCAAGGATGAATCTGCTGGTGTTGAGCTGTCAGGAGTCGTGTATGGTGTTTGAAACGTTGGTGGGCGTGGCTTTGCTCTCTGATCTGTACAATATCAGCGCTAAGGATAGAATTGATTCAACAACTATACAACTCACTCTTGCTCCATTAACCCAGTTGGAAGGTCCATGTCCCTTGCAACCTTAATCTTCTTCCCCACGAGGATGACATCGACCAGATGAGGCGGAGCGTACAGGACGATCCTCAAGATGCTCTCAGCTCGTCCACTGAGCTTCTTGTTCAGCTTCATGGTCGTCGGGTTTACCATGAGCCAATGCAATAGACGTCTTGGGAGCCCACCACCATATGCTCGACGTTGCTCCTCTTTATCAGCCGAGATGTGAACAATGAGCTTATCCAACGTCATTCCAGAGTCAGTAGTGCTGACTGATACAGGGAGCCTCGTGCTTGGAGCCACGAAGCCCTGTTCATTGTTAAAGCAAGGGCCCATGGAGTAACTTCCGGGTACCGTCGTGGACAGTCCGGCCATGAGCTCTGCCCCTTCGACAGCGAACATTTCGCCCTCCTTCAAAGTAATGAGCAGCTTTCGCCTTGCCAAGGTGTCTCCGGCACGGGGACTCTTGTATTGGGCGGCAATACTTGTGGGGGGGTTAGATATTGGATGTTAACGGAGAAGGAAATACTAACCTGACAATAGCCTCTGCTTTCTCGGCGATATCCCAATGCAACTTCGTTTGCTTTGCCCCAGTGGGCCAGACAAGCCTTTCGATAACATTGTTGGATATATATTTGTAGGTAATTTGCAGCCATTCAAACTCTGTCTTGAATCGTTTCATGCGATCAAGAACAAGCATGGGAACTTGATCCCGAAACATGGTCCCAAGCAGCAGGTCATCAGCAATAAAGAAAACATCGTCCGCGGGCATCAACTCAACGCTGCTTGCTGTAGTGTATACTGGAAAGTAAGGTAAGGTCAAAGACTTGTGGGGATCTTCTTGTAGGTTGGCCATGATCGTCCCGTCAACATCGATCAGATCCGCACGTTGGTCGCGTAACACTTTAGGGTCGGGAGGAATCGGGCTGACTTCGAGGACCTTTCTCGGGAACCTTTCCACAGCGACGATATCGAAGAAGAAGTTGTACAGTTTGTCATATTGTCCACTCAAATCAACCTTTCCAGTATGGTTGCTGTGAGGTTTCCAAATACAGTCCACGCGCCGAAGCCATTTGACGCCTGTATTGTGCTTAACAGCAATCCAAGACTTGAAGTAGAAAACAGCCCTGTCCACCATCAGTACATGCTTCCAAAGATATCCACGTACGTACCTCACGTAGTCTCGTTCTTCCTCTCTAATCACGTTCAGTTTGTCGATTCTGCGCTGTTCTTTGTCTTGTTATTCCCCAGGCGGCATGTAATCGCGGAGGAGGGGACGAGTCATGTTTTGAATAGCATAATATAACAATGACACATCATCAAGAGATGCAGAAGCCCCACGAGCTCGCTGATACTCCATTTCACCAATGGCAGTAAGTCATGTAGATTCAGGCTGCCATATCAACAGCACCCGCTTATAAAACTCCTTGATGTCTTTGTCGGTCTCCCTTGGCAAGTTCCATTGGTGTGGCAATATAGACAGAGACTTTTTTGACCGTACCCAAGCCGGACCATTGATGCAACATTGGCTCGGCGAGGTCCAACCGTGGTGCCAGAGAAGTGAGTGTTTCTCAAATTGGTCCCTTTGGCATAATTAGTTGACAGCGAAGCAATGAATAGAAGAGTATTTCTCACCTGATGAATCTCGAATCGGAATCGATCTCGGGGTCGGAGATGACTACATTTCTCATATAAACAAGACTCAGTGAATGGTAGAGGGTCGGTAGAGTGTCCGAGAGGTCCAAAGCTTGAGGTGACACTTGTTTGTGTTTTTTCAGAAGAGCAATCACGGATTCGGCTGCAAAGCGCAGGTCAGACGTGACGTTGATTCCCTCGAGCAAGGACATTTTTTTGGTCAAGAGCTTGCGTGGTCTGAAGCAAAAGAGTTGTTCACTTGTGTAAGTTTGGAGGTGAAAGGGGGACACGCGACGTGGACGCGTCCAGCCACTTAATGAAAGTTGGCACGGTTCTTATCTAAAGTCTAATCCAGTGAGGTCGGGTCAACAGGGGACGCTGTAAACAGGTTACAAAACAATGGAAAGTTTCAGAATGATTGGCCAAAAGGCTCAGATGGTTTCACATTGATAACATGAAATTGGCCTACGTGGTGAGTTCTTTGGTGCGGCTGGCGCGAATGATAGAGGTACTTGGTCTATACTTGGGCAGTTGTATGACAGAACCCCCGCACCACCAAAGTTGACAATGGTTGGTGGTACCCCAATGTTCAATATAACGAACAGCTCGACACGTACAGTGTCAAAATTCACTTGGCAGTCTGCACTAACTGTGGTCCCGATCCGTGACAGCATTAATTCTATCAGTCTCACGTATCAACGACTTCCCCAAGGAGGAAGCTCAAAGTCTCCGAAGCCCTCGATCATACATATACTTGCAGCAGGACGAAATATTGGAGGCTGGAAATCGACAATTGACCTGCGCAAACTGGCTCATGAGACTTCATACAACTTGGGTATGAACCAAGCAGTGTTCTTCAAAATATTAATTCTCTGCTAGCTCATTCCTTTCGAAGCTTCTTCGAAACTGCCAATGGGGGAGGAGATCCTGAAGATGCCGAATCACTGGTAGCAGGTCGTCGTTTTTGCCTCTGTTGCTCTGACGCGATTCCAGTAACTGGAACAATGCCTAGGAACGCGTCCAGGGTTCCAGCCTGCTTGACAATGGGTGTTCGAGAAGCGGGAGAATCAGTCAGGGGAATATTGACTTCTGGTGCTGGTACTGGTTCTGGTGTTGTTGACGTTGGTGTACGCGTCGTTTGGAGTGGCGCCTCAGCCTCCTGGGCTTCCGCCTGATCCAAGCATTCTTCTTTTATTTCTGGACTATTGCTTGCTTGTTAGTTGCCCTTCAAAAACGTTGTGGGAATCGCTCACTTTCTGCCTTCTCGATATGCAAGAGGCTGTTCAATGCTTTCGGCCTCAAGTATGTCATTCGCCAACTCGGGAGGTGCACTCAACACACTCTTTACAAGGCTCACACCGAGATCGGGTACATCGACGAAGCCCGAGCTGTGAGCCTCCCGTCCTTTCATGAGCCAGTCCATCAATAGGCGAGGCAATGCAACGGCCATTGCCAACTGTCGTTGCTTCTTGTCGGCTGGAACATAAGCCACAAGGGCCCTTTCCTGCCAGCCACCCGAATCTATCAACTTCAGCTGAGGGTAGGTGTCTTTGATGTAGATATTTGTATTATTCGATTTGTGGTGGCCATCTCCTAGCCTTGTCTCAGAGAACATATCTTCCACTTCCATCATCTTGGCTGCTCGTAAAGACCGGAGAATTAGGTTTCTTTCACTGATTGATCTCGTTTGACGGCTCCGGAAATAAGCTGCGATGCTGGCGCCGCTGTTAGTCTTCGTGTAACGGAATGGGTCAGTTGACTCAAGGACCTACCGTAGGAGAGCCTCGGCTTTCTGGCCTATGTCCCACTCAATCTCATGTGGTATTGTTCTGTAAGGCCATTCAACCCTGTGCTCGACATTGAGAGTCAAGTATTTCTTCCCCATACCAAGCCACTTGAACAGAAACTCGAGCCGCATCACTTGGCTGTTTGTAAAAGCAAGCATATTGACTTTGTCCCTGAATAATTCGAAAAGACGCATGTCGTCAACAATGAAGAAATCCGTAGCACAGCAGACGCGCTTTAGCTCGCCGGACGGTGTCAGAATGGGGAAAATGGGCTCAGAAATTAACTCGCTGGGATCTATGAGTTCAACCAAGTTCTGGATCAAAATGTTGAGATGAGACAAAGGGGTGAAAGTCTCGTCGGCAGGCGCATCGGCTGCGACCTCGAGTATCTGCTTTTGGAGAGCCTCCATCGTCAACTCAGGTATCTCGAGGCGATCTACGAAGAAAGACTTGAGACTAGGATACTGCTGGCTGATGTCGTGTTTCCTGGGCAGCTTTACGCCATGCGACCATACAAGTTGGCTAGGAGTGCCCCAATGGAAAGTCTCCCAACTTCGGTCAGGGATGATGTATGGAAAAAAGGGTTCCTTTTTAAATTCCTCTCTGTTATTTTCTATCAGCAGACCCTTCAAGTTCATATTGTTTTCTCTTGGTAAAATACATACATCATGCGATCTCTTTCTTGGCCACGTACATCAAGATCCTCAAGATCCTGATACAGCTTGGTTACATCGCCTGGAGAAACTGTCCATTTAAATGCCTTGATTCTATGGCGTCTGAGTTCATCAAGGATGTCATAATACCTGTAAGCGTCTTCTAGAAGAAGCACTTCTTTGTAGAATCGTTCAATCTGGTCGGACTCGAATCGTGTTGCGTTCCACTCAGCTGGTAGTGGCATTGAAGGCTTCTTCGGATGTGTACCTTCAGGACCATAGCGAACTGCATGATTAGGGTTATTCCAACCTTGTTGCTGTAAGAGGAGCGAGTTTCTCGCGAAAGTCGACCTAGATTTGCCTGTTAGATCAACTCCGCAAGCAGGCACACAGTCAAGATCAACTATACCTGATGTATTTTGCGACCTTGTTCTCGCCATCCCTACCGACCTTGGCCTCCAGACAAAAGTCATATAGGAGTATGTACAATTCCTTGACTCGCCGTGGGGATCTGACGTCGTCGGTCGAATTGAACTTGATATCCAACAGAGTACTGGCCCAGAAGTAGACATCAGGTTTGGTTTGACATCGGAGTCGCGGAAGAAACTCCCAAACTCCGAGTGTACCATCTTCTGGGAGAGGGGGTTCAAGATGAACGAAGGAGGCTTTTTCCCCCGGGAGCAAGTAACGAGCCCGCAGGTGCCGGAGTTCCGGAAGTGGAATCCACGTCCTATGTATCGGGCGCAGCTCTCCATTCTCGAGAAGGACCCTGATACGACTAACAAGCCCCAAGTTCTCCGGACTCTCTACCAATCTCTGTCCATGTTCTGGCCAGATGCGACGAAGGTAGGACAAAAATGCCTCCGGATTACTTCTGCCGTATGCCAGGACCCTAGGTGAGACCCTCGAGGGCACGTGTACGGAACGCGGTTGATTGGAATTTGCGAAATCAGACATGTCGAACACCACAAATAGATTACCGGCTTGGAAGACGTGTGTTGATCAGTTGAGTTATATAAGAAGCTTGGATGGAATGCGCCACGCGGAGACGCGGGGTTGGGTGAGGTAGTTGATCGTGAACGCCCCCAACTGCAAGGGAGGACTATAATAGTGCACAGTGATCGGCCGGTGATCAGCCGTCAACCATATGAAGTCTCAGGTATCCAACTTCTACATTGTACCAGTATGGCAACACATTAGCAGAGGTCATGTCACGTCGCATAAATTTAAATTTCTCAGATATAATGCAAAATAACAGCAGTCCCTTGGTTAGGCAACTTCAATTACTAGGTCCGCGTAGATCAGGCTAAACAACAACAAACGGTTTGCAAAACATCTAGATAGAAACATGCTAGAGACAATATCGTTAATTGATTGGCATTATTCAACATTCAAAGCCTAGTGCGCTTTTGCATGAATTGTGGTGTATTGTTTGTCTCAGACTCGAAAGATGTTGCTGCGAGTGTTTCATGATCGCAACGCCAAAGAAATGGAAAAAACAAAATCCGTCATGGTCAATCATATTCTCAGCCCAGCTGCAGAACCCAACCTTAGTCAAACTTGCTCTCCTGGAATGTGCTTCGCATCGGCATTTCAGAGTCATAGCTACCAGCCTCCTTCTTCATGTGCCGGTCAAAGCTCTGCGTCGACATCTGAACCTTCTCAAACCAAGTCCTGTCTAAAACCGGCGCCGCAGGAGGGCTCTGACCGCGAGATCGGGCTGCCTCGGCTTGGTTGGCATAGTTATGGATGGCAAGGCTGGAGGCAATTTGGAATGCACTTCGGATCTGTCGACCGTTCCAGCATCCAGTTGATCGGGCAAGCTCTTCATAGTGCTTGGCGGCAAAGTCGATAATCTCGCTCTCTTTGATGACGAGGGCGGGTTCACCAGTCATGCGGTGGCGCTCGGCCTCGATCTGCTTGAGCTTGCCGATGTTGAGGCGGAAGATGTCGCGTGTCTGAGTCTTGTCCAGAGGAGGGTAGTACAGGGAGAGGTGGATACGAGACTTGAAGGCCTCGTCGATTGTGCCGACTCGGTTGGTAGTCAGGAAGAGAAGACCGTTGTAGTACTCCAGAACTCGGAGGAAGACGGAGACAAGAGCGTTGCGCTTCATGTCCTGCTTGGATCGCTGAGAGAGGAACACGTCCGCCTCGTCAAGCAGAAGAACACAGTCCCAGAGATGAGCGAGGCGGAAGACGTTCTTTAGCGAAGACTCAACCTCATGGGGTGTGAGACCGAGATCGCCACAAGTGATGACAAACAGCGGCTTGCGGTTCTCCATAGCGACAGCCTCTGCAGTAGCAGTCTTTCCGACACCAGGCACACCATGCAGAAGCACAACAAGACCACGGCCCTTGCCCTGGATCAGATCCTGGCTGGGTCCCTCGGTCGCGGCATCAGCGTACTTGCGCTCAAGGACCTTTCGCTGGAAGTGCGACATGACAAGTCCGCGCACGACATCCTTGTAGTCGCTCTGGATGCGGAGGTTCTCAAAGACACCAGGCTCGCGTCGCACGGGCTTGAGAACGTTGAGATCAATTGGCAAGAAGCGACGCTCACGAAGAGCATAGGCAAACATGCGCTTGGGAAGAAGAACAAGATCCTCGTCGCGAAGCTCAAGAGCCTTGGGGTTGGTCTCAAATGTTCGGCTGCCCTTGACACGGACGCGGAGGAAAGCGTCAACCGCAAGGTTATCTCTTCGCTGACGGGCCTCGACACCATCGGCGTGCTGGATGATCTCGTTCTGGGAGTATGCCAGGTTCTGGCGGGTGCCGTTGAACCAATGCTGGATCGGCATCTCGTCGTCCTTGATCTCGCATCGCGAAGACTTGTTGATTGTAAGCTGATGGAATCGCGGGCGCCAGTCAGGCATCTTCTGGTAAGCCTCTGTAAGATCGACGATGACATCACTCTCGACGAACTCAGGATGTCGCATCTTCTCGTAGTCCTCGTTGTCGAGGATCTCCTCTTCAGGCTCGGTGCGATGAGATGGGGGGTTTCTGGTCAAAGTCCAGGCGCTGTACTGCTGATGGCGATCATCTAAGTAATTGATGAACTTGCGGCCCTGGTCTTGCATCGAGCTGAGAAGCTGCTTGTAGTCGTGGCGGTATCGGATGGGGAAGGCCTCGAGGGAGTCAATTGATCGCTCTCCAATGAACGACTCAATCTCGAACTTGCGTCGGACAGCGCCAAAGGTGTTGCCATCATGATCGATGTAGTAAGCGGAGATCTTGAACTTGGAGTTCTCGTCGATCTGCTGCTCATCTGCGAAGAAGTCCCAGCCAGAGGTGGGATAGGATGTCTCGGGCTCGGGGCTTCGGACCTTGTAGACACGCCAGATCTCGTGGTAACGGCCGCCAGTCTCGCCAGATGCAGGCATATAGATGAGGTCCCCGACGCGGAAGAGGGACCAGAGATCGTCGAACTTGACACGGTCGGCGGTAGAGCCCTCGAAACGGTTGTAAAGAGGAAGCACTTCCTTGTCGACAAAGTCAACGTAGCATCGCATGTCACGCAGCGCCTCGGGGCTGTCCATCAAATTGTCGTAGTCTTCATCGGCGTCGGAGTCAACCGACTCAATGCTTGAAGCCTCAGATGTTTGAGAAGCGACATCATCACCATCCTCAGCAGCCTCCTCCTCATCAACAACCTCTGCCTCAGTCTCTTCAGCGACATCGACAACCTCGGAGCTTTCGCTGCCAATGTCCTCGAAGTCAGCCCACTTGTCTTCAAGAGTCGCAAGGATCTCTCGCATCTTGGGTTGGAAGTGGACTAGAGTCTTGAAGGGTCGCATGAATGTTCGGGGAGACGATCGCTTCTCGGTGTCGTTCATAAGAGCTGTCAAATGGCCCAAGATGGGCTGGGACTGGATACGAATGCGCTGAATCTCAGAGTCGGAAGATGGCTGGCTATCCTTCTCGCGACGAGCCTTCTCATAGGCGTCGGTCTTGCGATGAGGTGTCTCAATAACACCACCGCCAGGGTAGTACATGTACTTCTGACGGAGACGAGCCATCTCCTCACGACGACGAAGACCATGCTCACGACGGATCTGAGCCTGGGTACCAGTACCCGACATCAGAACGTCAATGGCATAATCAGGCTCATCGATGTCTTGGAATCTGTTCTTGAAGTTCTCGAAGTTGACCTTTCGGACTTCGGGAATCTTGGGGCGCCATTTGGCAGCAGTGCGGCGTCGGTCAGCGAGGATACGCTCGCGTCGCTCTGCCTCTTGCTTAAGAGCCATGTATTCGAGATCATTCTCTTTGTGATTGCGTGTGTTGCGCGTGTTGTTTGTGGTGTTGCGACGGCCGCCACGCTTGGCCCTTGTTTGTGCAGTACGCGCCATTGTGAATGAAGGAGAGATGATTGGAGTTGGTGTGAATGGATATGATGGCGTTGAGGTCCGGAAATGATGTTGTCTTATAGCAAAATGCACATTGTAAAGGCTTCTGGCCTAATCAGGCGGCTCACACATGCCTGCATGCATTATCATCGTGAATTCAGTACGAAGATTGATTGCCAAGATGCCTTGCCGGGCTGAGTCACTTCCCGTGTCGTGTTGCACAGAAACCCCCTGTACTCCCATAGGACTACAGGCAGCAATGCCGCTGAGAGTTGTGGCGAAGCGCCCAAGCGTGGCATGGGTGTCAGAAAAGAATTGGCTCGTCTTCGCCTAAATTCGCCGCTTTCAGTTCCAAGCTTTCTGTCATCCCTCGTCTCCGCTAAGAGGGCCTCCCGCCAGCTCAGTCTCACCTCAGCGACCCCCGCTAACGAGCCAATGGTTCCTTAGATGGCGTTTGAGGATTCACAGCTAGCAGATCCCTCAAGGCAGCAACCGGGGTGGCTTGGAATGCGGTGTATCGTGAATACGATGGAGAAGCCTATCAGGCCGCCATATAATTGAACCTTCAATGGCTTATCGAATGTGATAATCATGCAGTCATTGCAGGCCGGTTTCACCAGTCCCGAATGAGTAATTTTGTTGTGACTGGAGGTGAAGTCCTACTTGATCGAACGGCACTTCGGGTACCAGCCTGCTACCCCCCTCGATCTTTTTCATGTGAGATCTCGGCAATTACCAATGTTCAGCTTGAGGATAGAGGTAACAGTATATCCTCCATCTTGAAGAGTGATCGGCGCAGTATTGCAAGAAACCCTCGCCGGAGTGAGGTCCCAGTTCTAACGAACCTAGGGCTGGCTGAGACTCTTAGACATGCACAAAATATCTTGGGACTCGTGGAATAACAAAAAGGAAGCTATTCGAAGTTTGTATCTAATGTATCCTATCCTGCGATCCAAGACCTTCTCCTAATTCGTGGTCGGAAAGTTACTCAAGCGACCACCATCGACGACTATAACTGTGCCATTACAATATCCACCCGCTCGAGATGCAAGATAGAGGAAGGTTCCCGACATATCCTTCTCATCTCCCATTCTTCGTAGTGGTGCCATTGATGTTGGTACGGCACCAGGCTGTCCTGACTCATCGGTATACATCTTGACGATCGGCTCTGACATTTCGCTGGGGAATACTATAAAACGTAAGAATGCCACTTTTTGGGTGATCAATGAATTAACTCACATCCAGGAGCGATGCAATTGGCTCTGATGTTCCACTGAGGAAGGGCAACGGCAAGCTGCTTGGCTGCTAGAACAGCTCCAGCCTTGGACTGTCCGTACGCCCAACCGCCGGGGGCTTTCTTGTTGAATGCTGCGATGGAGCTAGTAACGATGACTTGTGAAGTCTGCTCGACATTGCCCTTCTCGTTGCCCTTCTTCAGAAGCAGGAGAAAGGCCATGCTGGTGAACCAAACCGACGCGGTGTTGATGGCGAACGTGTTGACATAGTCACCGAAATCAGTGTCAAAGTTGGACTTGGCCCATTCTTCCAAGGTTGTTTCGGGAGTAATTGGCTTGACTTGGGGTCCTCCGATACCAGAGTTGCACACCAACAGGTTGACGTACCCGGTGTCCTTCTCAATCTGAGAGACCATGTTCTGCAGATCTGACTTGGAGGTGACGTCGCACTGAACCCCAACGACCTTGTCGCCCAATGAGCTGGCGACTTCGTCCAGTTTTTCCTTCCTTCTGCCAGCGATGTAGACCTTTGCGGCACCGTTTTGGAGCAACGCCTTGACGAACATGAGGCCGATGCCTGTAATACGATCAGTTGTGATCCGTGCTTTGAGGGGCTCACTGACCTGAACCTCCGCCTGTCACGACCGCAACAAGGCCATTGAGGCTGAAGAGTGAGCTAGCACTGAGTTGTTCTGAAGACATGATCGCTATTTGATTCGGGAATGGTTTCTGTAGAGAGCTGAGTCGTTAGTCGGGGATTTCGAAAGTTGAGGCAATTCATTGATCATCGAGGCTTGAGCCCCGCTTACGCAGTCAAGGAGTCATAACGTCGTTATCAATTCAACCCCGCTCTCATGTCAACCAGTACCTACAGTATTCTATTATCTCCACCGCAAGCAATTCTCTGCTTTCATTGAATTTTTCTCTTGATCACAGCCTTTGATTTGAATTTATATGAATACTCCTATGGAGTTGGACCTCCGCGCAGGCTAGAATGCCAGCTATAGCCGCGGCTCGGTTCGGCCGAGAACTCCACTAGATCCCGTCTCTTGCAATTCCGAGACTCGAAATTTCTACCGTCTGGAACGTATACTGGGAAGGGAAGCATACTAACTACTAGCAATTGGGTCAAGAAAGACTAGATAGGGCTCATGCAAACCAATATCAGTGGCAGAAGTTTGGCGCGTTTTGATGCCAGCACCTGATTATGGACTTCGCGGAAGCTGCGGAACGACAAGGCATCCCGTTATCTTAGCTATCAAAAGCTTAAATCAACACGTGTAATTGATAGCTAATCATCTATTTGCTATGTTCTGATATTAGTGGCATGATGGTACCAAAATCATACGGTTGTCAAAAGCGAAAGCGCTAGGCAAGTCAGAAAAGTCTGAATAATGATGAATCGCAGCTGGGCGTACATGATACGACGATATATAAATGCCAAAGGGTGAGCCAACATACATTCTTACCATCAATCAACTCAATCCTGAACACATCTTTCCTTTCAATCACTGCAGAGTTTCCAATAGACTCGAAACAAACATACCTGCCAATGACAGAGTCCGCACACGGACGCCTTCTCACTGATGACCAGAGCTTGCAAAAGCTCGGGTTAGACAGATCCCAACCTGTGAGCTGGGAAGACGGCCTTCGCAGTCCCGGTGTCGAAAGTGGAGAGTGGGAGTGGTGGTACGCCGATGCACATCTTCAAGACGGCTGGTTCCTGCAGGTGGCCTTCTTCTACATAACAGAAGGAGACGGTCCCAAGACTGGACTCATTGACCTGAACATCGCCAAGGATGGCAAGAAACTTTGTGACTTGCATAAGCGTATTGGCAATGTCCCTTCCGAGACCGTTGTGGCAAGAGATCGGTGTGATCTGCAGTATCGCAAGAATTACTTCCGCAGTGTCAATGGCCTCAGCGAGTATCACATCTTTGTCGACCCTGATGAGATGGAAGGATTCGGTTTCGACGTGGTGATCAAGAGAACTACTCCATCATATCGACCGGGCTCAGGTCGATGGGACGTGGAGGGTCGTCACTTCTCATGGTTTGTAGCTGTCCCTGGTGGCCAACTGATCGGAGACGTCACTGTCAACGGCACCAAGACCAGGGTTGAAGGCAATGCCTACCATGACCACAACTGGGGCAACGTCCCGATGGAGACCATCCTGGACAACTGGCTCTGGGGACGCGCTGATGTCGGCGGGCTCTCTGTAGTGTCCGCATCAGTGCGGTTCCGACAAGATTGTGGGGGTAGAGAGGTGCCTCTACTCTTCGTCGTCCGTGGGAACGAGGTCCTGGTGGACGTGAGCGACGATCAACTTGTTTGCTTGGAGGGAGTCAAGATCGCGCAGCCAGACACAGGCAAGCCGACCAGCTCTGATTGTATCTACCTTGTGAAGTCAGCAGGTGGGAATCTTGCGCAGGTTCGCTTTGATGGACAGCAGAAGGTGATTGCGTCTTTTCCTTACCAGACTACGAGTCAGGAGTGGGAGACTCGGTATACAAGATATGCTGGGATGGTGACGATCAATATCACAGATGGAGACAAGCGAGTTTATGTCTCTGATCATGGCAGCTTGGAGGTAATGGATTTCTTTGGACGAAAGAAGGTATAAAGGGGATCATGAACAAACCCTTGCTTCATCCTTGTCCCCAAAACCAGTGCTGATTGGTTTACAGCGTTATAGATCAAGTATGACTCGAAATTAGGAATAACTCATCTCAACTCTTATATTTAACTGTGGGCTTTCATCGCATGAGGTTGAAAGTGAAAGCTTATGACATGACCAACTCTTTTTGACTTTCCATCTCCATGGTACAACTCGTCTGCACGCTGGCCAGACCAGTATATGCATAAGCAGCTCCTACTTACACACTTAAGCTCTTCATGGGCACGGCTGTAATTGAAGCTGACAAAACTGCACGTTCATTCGCCCAAACCAACAGTCATAGCCACGGCTCGGCTCGGCCGAGAACCGGCGGTCAATTCCGATTCCGAGACTTGATGATGTCGTATCTCCAATCTCCTCAAACACCAGAGAAATGGTTCAGCAAAGAGAGCAGGGAACATCAATTATACATAGACATAGTGAGGAGTGTAGCATATAAGGTTGCAGCGAGGCCAGGCCAAGCCACCTAAAGATTGAGGCTGATTGCACAATCACAAATCTGCCTTGGCTGAGGCCTAGGCAGACATCATCACTACCTATAGATAAAATAAATTTGAGGCGGATGGGAGAGCTTCACATTTCTACACATGTAAATAATCATCAGAGAGATATCCGCTCAATAATCTGCCAATACCGTCGCGAACCCCAACGCCTCCTTCACGACCAAGGTCGCCAGTTCGACACAATGTCACAAAATCAGAAAATCGCCGGGCACACAGCACCGGCACCACAGATAAGCGATAAAAATGAACAAACTTCGGAAGCCGACGTGCTGGCCATGATCGAAAGAATCCGTAACAGGCCAGGCGAAGACATAGCTGCCGACTCAGAAAGGCTTGCTGCGGAAGCGAAGCGGTTTTATGAAGAACAAATGCGCATTCGGTCACAGAAGCAAAGAGAGCAAATGATCTATCTTGCGAAACTGGCTCTACCCGTCGCTTTTATTGTTGGGGCGTGGTACTGGCTCTGGTAAATGTCTTCCGGATTGAAGGCTTTGTGGAACCTTCAATTGCATCATCTGCTCAAATCCCATTTTGAAAGAACTGAGGCGGTGGACACAAAAGGATCGTGAGCCTCGGCTGGTAGCGAAAATGGACCATAAGGGAGCCCAAATGCTAGTTGCGTTGATCACGCCATCTCGACCCCGCCCAGGCTCAAATGAGGTCATTTTGTCTTTTATCAACTTATTGCCTCAAAGAAAATCTTTTCAAAGTTCAGGAGCAGACTCAAGACCACCCGTGACTATACCCATCAATACGAAACATCATGAGTGCACAGAACTCAGCAGCGCAAGGGGTCCAGGCCCAGCAGCCAGCAGGCGCTAGAATATCGCCCAAAGTCCTGCTTATCGCTATGGTGAGTACAACTCAGTTATTGTGATTATACCGAATTAATGGCCACAAGTTCTACGAAGAATCAAGGAATTGGCTTTCTCCTGATAGTGCTCTTCAGTTCTCTCGTAAAGTGCGCGTTCCGGGCTTGGCTAGGGGCTACGAAGATATCCATGTCACAGAGAATGGCGAAGTCGCGCTTTTGGTAGTCGGAACTGCCCGTAAGAACCCAACCCCCTTCAAAAGACTTTCTCTGACCCAGAGTAGTTATCAACGCATCTTTATCGATCAGTGCTCTCCTGACATCGCCGCTCTTCGACCTCACAAAGTCATACTTTGTCCTGACTGGTATTGCAGGCGTTAATCCCAAGCGAGCTACTATTGGATCGGTCGCCTTTGCCAAATTCGCCATTCAGGTTGACACGCAGCTTGAGTTTGATGCGAGAGAAGTCCCCGAGGAATGGGGGTCAGGGTTTGTTCCTATGGGAGCAGACAGGCCTGACCAGTTTCCCGGTATCGTGCATGGCTCTGAAGTATTCGAGCTTAATGCAAACTTGAGAGACTATGCTCTTTCCGTAGCCAAGACTGTTGAGCTTACAGACTCACCAAAGGCTGCTGAGCATCGGGCTTTATGGAAGAACTCTCCTGGTGGTGTTTTTGACGCAGCGGCACAGGACCCAACTGTTCTTAAGGGAGATGTTCTGTCTTCCAATACCTTCTGGCATGGTCATAGAATCTCCGAGGCTATGGAGAAAGTTGCAAAGGTCTATACTTCAGGACAAGGAGAGTACACAATGACAGCCCAGGAGGATAATGCCCTCCTGGCTGGTCTCTTGAACGCAGCACTTCAAGAGAAGGTTGACTTTTCCCGAATTCTCCTGATTCGATCTGCTTCAAACTTCGACAGAGGACATGAGGATAAGCCCCATCAACTTCCTTTTGTTATGGACAAAGGTGGTTTGGGGCCATCTACTCGCAACCTCTATCTTACCGCTCTGAAGGTAATCGAGGGGATCTTGGAGGAGTGGTCCACCAGATTCGAGACTGGGATCCCTGCTCAGAATTATATCGGTGATATTTTTGGCTCACTTGGTGGCACACCTGGTTTTGGTGACAAGCAAAATGTTGAGCAAATAAGATCCCACTAAATATGGCCCTGGGCTTGCTTGCGATCTTCCACAATCCTTATCGTAACTACATAGACTTGATACAACCGCTTAGCGCTGGAGGCCGAATAGACATATGAATGGGGATATGAATGACAATCTCGCCAAACATTTATCATACTTGTTTGAGCGATCTGCAATTATTTATGTCTAGCTAATTCAATCAAGGATTTTGCGTCTCTCGAAGCAATCCAGATTTCAGTTCAGCTACAAGCCTATGTGAGATGGTTTAGGGCAACGTCCCAGGGGCCTTCATGGCAGGGGCAGACTTAGGGTTCGAATAGAAACAGGTGCAGGGTCTATTGAGAAACCAGTTATACATCTTTTGGCTCGAGTGCCTTAACCCACTCGTCTACTTTACTTGTTGATGAGTCCTTGGAACCAAATGATAAGCCTCCAATATATCTGTTTAGTATGGCTAGGGGAGGAAAGAAAACCCGAAACCTTGATTCTAAAAGATGAAAATACTTAGGTAACTTAATATAAGTTTAGGATAAATTTAGGATACCTTTTGTAGAGTTTATTTCAATACCTCATATCAAGGTCTAGTAATTTCAATACCTCATATCAAGGTCTAGTATTTTCTTGTTGTCTGATGCATAGATACTCCAGCTAGACGAGCTTATGGTTCTTTTGTCCCCAGAGTTTGTGCTATGAGCTCAAATAGGGCAGAGCATTCATTCCACATAGCAGCCAACAAGTCTCTGGCCAGAATAATTAATTCTAGCCGCAGTTGCCTCAACTCTGGAATAAAAGCAAGCCCGACACATAGATGATAACAATAGATAGATTTGGACCGCAATTGACAGACCAAGTTTGCGAGGGGTTGTAAACTTTCGTATTCTTTTCTTGGAGGTGAGACGAGGGCTGTTGATTGGGTGCCGTTTTAGTCGTAGCTCGACCTGGAGGGTGAAGCGTCGAGCCGCGGAGATACGCTATTCTCATGATGATATGATACGTATGATCTGACCGAAAGGCATTCCACTTCACAAAACATGCGGTCTTGCTTCTTGTGAGGCCGAGAAATCTCCTAGTTTTCTCCTCTCTAGTTGAACATCTACTAGCTTAGCCCTCACTGCCCTGAAATTTAAATGTTGTTTTTTGCGCATCACCGTCCTTGTTTTAGCAGTGCGGTCAGATAAAGGGCATCTGTTTAGCGAAGAACAAGTCTCAACCTATTTATCAAGAGCTAATTTCATAGGGACTTAAGTACTTGGCTCAGTATTGAAATACGTAAGTTGACGTTTTCAGGTGACCATTTCGGGCTCACCGGTGATCAGGGCTATGGACTCGAGGTCGACCACTAAACCATGTCCGTCCCATCATGCGTCAGTAACAGCTGTCATATTACCAAGCACTCAAAGATAGATCTCCGCGCTCTAGTGCTATTTGTTGAGCCATATCATGGCCTGCTAATGGTAGTATAAAGATCGGCCGGCTCTGCGTACGGGTCTAGATAATCTGTCCTAACAATTATCCAACATCTGTAACTACTTCCGCTTTATCCTATTTCACTATGTCTCGCATGGTGACAACATGCTGGACCCTTGCTCCAGTAACCAGTCAACTCCTTTCTATTGCCAGTAGAGCTGCTGCTTCTACCGCTTTTGTCAGAAACCTCTCACTTCCAGCCAGGCGGGGTCCGGTGATCGGAGCCAGATCCTTTTCGTCGAACACTAGGTCCAACAGTCGAGTCAGTCATGCTCGTCTTGCTCCAGCACTGGCTGTATCCACAGGGCTTGCCTTCAGTTATTATCTTTACCAACGAGGCTCCCAGCCAGTGAAGCTTGGCCTCGTGCCAGAAAAGCCAAAATGTGCTCATTGCGTGGACGAGAAGCCAGAGGTGATCCAAGAGAAGCCTGTTGGATGTTGTGAAGACGAACAAACCACTACCTATCAGGAGAAGCCTCTTTCATGCTGTGTCGATGATGAGGTAAGTTGCATCACTGACTCAGGCTCGGGTATAGCTGACCATCGCAGGCATCCATAGCGATGGTGCCTGCCATCGGAGGAGATCATAAGCACAAGATCTTTGAGACAGTTGACGATGAAACATTACTAATCTCAAAGCTCCCCAAAGAAGACGCTATCCTCACGACTGCGCCAGATGTCCCTCCATCTATCACAAGAGACCATCCAGCTCTTGTCAGAGTTCCACTGGTGACTACAACTAAGTTAGCACAGTTGACCAGCCAGTATAAGTACGAACAGTGGACTTTCAACGGCACTGTCCCTGGCCCTTTCATTCGGGCCAAAGTCGGAGATGTCGTGGAGCTGAGCCTCACAAACAAAGACCCTGCAGGTAATCCTCACAATATCGACTGCCACGCATTTACCGGTCCCGGTGGTGGTGCCGCTGTTACTACCGCTGAAGAGGGCGAAACCAAGGTCGGTCGCTTCAAGCTCCTTTACCCCGGTCTCTACGTCTACCATTGTGCTGCCGCGCCTGTTCCTGTTCACATTGCCAACGGCATGTACGGTCTCATGTATGTGCAGCCAGAAGGCAATGACCTACCACCCGTGGACAAGGAGTATTATGTTATGCAGAGCGAGTTCTACCATGAACCACCAGAGGTTGATGATGACGGTCGACGATCCGAAATTGTCGAATTCTCATATCCTAATGGTCTTCGTGAAGAACCTCAAGTCGTTGCCTTCAACGGCAGCGAGTCTGCCTTGACAAGAGATCATCCTCTCAAGGCTCATGTCGGTGATGATGTGCGAATCTTCTTCGGAAATGCTGGACCAAACCTTACCAGTTCATTCCACATTATCGGTACGCATTTCAAGAATGTGTATCGAGATGGTGGCGTTACCAGCAATCCATCAAAGGGTATTCAGACCGTTTCTGTTCCTTGCGGTGGGTCAACGATCGTCGACTTGAAGATGGCTGTCCCAGGAACATATACCCTGGTTGACCATTCCATTTTCCGCCTGGACAAAGGTGCAGTGGGCTTTCTGAATGTTTCTGGTCCGCAGAATCCTGGCATCTATCAGAGTTCTCAACCACCAAGGCCTTGCGTGGGTTGCAAATTGCACTCCTGATCAGATCATGGGCTTTTTTGAGATGGAGCTAGGAGGCATGAGAAGCAGCTGAATGGCTACAGGCCTAGCATCTCCGGCTTTCGGAGTGAGCAGTCTCTTTAAGTATAGTCTGGTTGAGGGTTCAGTTTGTTGTTGTGGGGAGATTCATGGAGTACTGAAGCGTGCGTTGTCAATGGCTTAAAAGATTTTAGTAGCAATGAAGTTTATGTCACGATATTTGACAACTCGAGCGGTTTCGGCTATTTTATCACCATAAGGGACGGATTGTTGAACGGCCTTCCACGTTTTTCTTCACTTGGCGAATCTAGTGAGATGGAATATTCAAATTGATACCTCACATAACTTTCCAGACATCTTCATATAAATTATGACATCGAATCAGAGAAGCTCGCTTTCTCATGTGTATCAGACTTTCACCACATGGTCTTGTATACGATGGCGCCGGTTGCAATTCCAACTGCAGATACGACAGCGACGCCTGACAAGGCACTCTTCAGATATCGTTTAGTGACTTCTGCCTCGTGATTCTCCCAACCAGAAGCTTTGTTGACGTGAGGAAAGGGTTCTTCGGGAACTGCCTTCTCCAAGAACTTGCATAAAGGTTCCCATCCGTCTTCGGCATTCCATTCGAGGAGCTTTTCTTTCGGAACGAGACCGCGGATCATGTTGCAATGTTCTATGTTTTCGTTAGTATTGTGATGCTTGGCGATCACTGAGGATCTTCGAACGCGTGCGAGTTACATACCCTTGTAGACCCATTTGCCGTTCCTCGCAATTCCTGTCTCAATATTGCCGTCCAAGGCCCGAAAGAGGCCTGGCCACATAAACCGCTCATAAACATGCCAGCCCCAGAACGGTACTTTGCCGAGACAAGACAATATATATAGAGCCCAGTTCTCATTGACACTCACTAGAGTCTTCACAGCACTCTCGTGCCACGCATCCAGATCTTTGCGGTAATTGAGGACGACCTTCGCATCGGGGTATGCGGCGATGAGTTCGGCTGCAAACACTGAAGCAGCAGCATCTGTGACAGCTACAGAGTGTCCGAGGATCTCGTCAAACTCTTCTTTTGTAATGGTGCTGTTGCCATCCAGCGAGCCGAACCATCTCCGCTATGTGAGTGACTTTTGCACAGTGTTGAAGGGTATTGACTGACTTCTTTCTGCATAAGCGAACCCATTTCGATGAGTAATTTGGTGTCTCGTACACGATATCCCAGCCGTGGTAGGTGTGATCGTATCCAAGCTTTAAAAGCGCGGTCTGAAGAGACTCAGTCGCAGACCTGGGTAGGCCTACACAGAGCACCTCCATAGGCTTCGTTCGTTTTCGCGGTGGAGGTTCTGGCACTGCATAGACATAGTTTTCGAGGAAACGCCACCACCAACTGTTGAGAGACGGCATTTTACCGTATTTCCGTTGTCGATGTATGTTGTAGGACAAATGGTATTGTTAGGATGAAACCACGTAAGGTCGATGACGTAGAGTCAGACGTGGGGTTTGGCTGGCTAGACTGGGTAAATACGAGGTTTCCAGCAACGCCTTGGTATCCTTGCCTGAATGGCAAATATGTGTGCATGCTCTTCATTAAACAGCTGGACTCTCTTCAAATGTCTCATCTTAGTCTCTGTTTTCCCACTGAGCCTGCAAGTCTCGTTGCAAACTCAATGTTGGCCAGGCATCTTCTCGGTCTACCTTCCTCAAGACATTTATCGCCGCATCTCGTTCCGCGTGATCAGTGATCCATGACCCGACTGTTATAAACAGAATTAGTCCCTGATCCAGACCTCGGCCTGCATTTGCTTACACAGAGAAAGGGCCAGGCACGTCATTCCTCTGGCAGGCGGTACCGGACTTGAAGAGGCGAGACCACACAGTAATCTCAGGAAATGCAGTATTTGTATCTAAAGGCAGTCAGTTATAGAAATATAGCCGCG